GATTAAAAAAGAACCTGGCATAAGAGGACACAGATATGACAATAACTTTTATAATATTAATAAGCCAACATCTCTGGCTTTTTTTTTTTTTTTGCTCAAAGTTATTTCAGGGTTTTGATCTCTCAACTGAGGGAACACATCCTGTTTATTATATTATAATGAATATTTCATATTGCATTTAAACTTTGACTATAGCCTAGACATGTTGCATATTAATTGTACTATTTATGAACCTCAAAGCATATGTTTGTGTATTTTGTGTTACTCCATAATGGTGTTCTATTTGAGGGCATTTGTAGTGTAGGTATAGGGCCCAAACATAACCTCAAGCCCAGGGGCCCCGGGCCCCTAAGTCCTGCCCTGAATAATGTTCTTTTTAGCAGCATCATATGACCCCTTTAATGCCACATTTTAAATAACTCAGCGAATGAAAGAGACGTTGCGTTGAGAAGCAGGACTGCTGTGATTGCAGTAAATCTTTCTCTGATTCAGATGGAGATGAGGTGGATGTGATCCTGACTCAGATCCCTCATCAAGCTGCAGAAAACACTGATTATGTGCGTTTCAAAAAAACAAAAAAGGCTAACTTCTTCTACATTCACTTTATTCACTGAAATTATTATTATTATTTAATTAAACACACAAAACACACGTCAGAGATACACTGAACAGATACAAAAGTCTGAGACCACCAGTGTAAATGATTCTGTTTTACATTATATTCTAATTAATACTAAATTGTCATTACAAATTATACATTAAAGTCCCCCTGTGGTGACAATCAGGTGTACATGTGTCTGCAGAGGCGCTGTAGCGAGGGCAGGTTAGGACGACTCCAAGGGCCTGACGAGGGACAGGGGCCCGAGTCAACACGATGGCTGAGCATCTTCTCCTTTAAAGTCTGTCTAAAGGGAATTCAGATAATAGTTTCTAAACACATTATAAATGTCAGAAATGTATTGCTGAAACGCCTTACAAAGACTGAACTGTGCAGTACTGAATTGTGGAGTTAGACCGTTAAATAGTTTCTCAGTATTTTTGTGTGCAGGATTTTGTGGGCGGGGCTGAAATCACGTCTCTATGACGCACTGGAGCCGCTGCGCGTGGCCCCGCCCCTAACGCTATAAGAGGCGTGTTCGACGAAAGCGGAGATGTGAAGTCAGACACTATATTATTTTGTCATCTTTATTTTGTTTAAAGGAATTAAAAATGGTCCTTATCAACCTTGATTGACATGGCAATAAAAAAATCACATTATTTTGACAGTTAAAGTTTTGGGCGGGTTTCGGTGGATCTGGCAACACTGGGGGCGGGGCTTCTCATATCATCATTATCAGGTCTGTTAGAAAAGAAAAGATCTGCAGAGTTGCTTGAAGTTAAAAATGCACAAAGACAGGTCACACATGAAAGGGAAAAAGCTGAGGTAGAAAGATAACGATGAGTTTAAATTAAGGACGAATTGGACGAAGTGAGTCTGATCACGGAGGCTGGTTTATATCTGAATGCTGGAAAAACTTGCTTACAGTGAAGGACACGCTACAGTGTGTGTGTGTGTGTGTGTGTGTGAGTGTTCAGTGTGTGTGTGAGTGTGTGTGTGTTCAGTGTTTAGTGTGTGTGTGTTCAGTGTGTGTGTGTGTGTGTGTGTGTGTGTGTGTGCGTGTGTGTGTGTGTGCATGCGTTCGGTGTGTGTGTGTGTGTGTGTTCAGTGTGTGTGTGTGCTCAGTGTGTGTGTGTGTGCTCAGTGTGTGTGTGTGTGTGTGTGTGCTCAGTGTGTGTGTGTGCTCAGTGTGTGTGTGTTCAGTGTGTGTGTGTGTGTACAAATGTCCGCACAAGCACAGTAAATCAGCTACATTCTATGGAGTCAACAGTCTCAGATGAATAAACACATTAAATCATGTTTTCATTAATATGTAAAAATGCAGAGAGGTTTTAGTGCTGCTGTCTGTGGGTTTCCAGGTCAGACGGACGCTGCTGGAGCCAAACACACACACACACACACCTGCAGATACAGAACATCGCATTCATGTCTCAAGTGTTTCTCAAATGAGTCTTCTGCTTCTCAGATGTTTCTGTCTCACAAAAAGACTCCAGTAGTCTCACATGTGTCTACACTAGAGTTTCAACAATGTCTCAAATTGTGCTCAGATTTCCCACAATAACAAAGTGTGTGTTGGGTGTGTGTGTGTGTGTGTGTGTGTGTGTGTGTTCAGTGTGTGTGTGCTCAGTGTGTGTGTGTGTTCAGTGTTTGTGAGTGTTCAGTGTGTGTGTGTGTGTGTGTGTGCTCAGTGTGTTTGTGTGTGTGTTCAGTGTTTGTGAGTGTTCAGTGTGTGTGTGTGTGTGTGTGTGTTCAGTGTGTGTGTGTGTCACGCTCAAACATCGCGATACGAGTCTCGCTGGAGTTGAAGTTTTGCGGCTTTGTCGTGTGTGGGTGTGAAGGACTGACAGTGAAGATGAAGATGCTGCTGCTGCTGCTCGGGTTTTGTTGCGGACTGGTGTTTGGTGATCAGAATCGCTCGGATTCTCATGATCAGAGAGTTTTTCCAGTCCTATCGATTAATTATGATTATGTTCAGATGCCGTTCGAGGTCTCGCTCTGGATTCTGTTCGCGTCACTCATGAAACTGGGTGAGAATCTCATCACTATTATTACAGTGCAGCTGTATTCATATTCGCCTAATATCAGCCTCATGATTGCTGTTATAGCAGTTCATCAGGAGTGTTATTAATGTTTGTGTTTGATGTGATCGTGTCGGCTCTCGTCTTTAGGCTGCTTGTGTTTCTCTTTCTCTCTGACATCATTATGAGTTTATCAGAGAATCCAGCTGCACTGGAGACGAGTGTGTGTGACGAGATAGAGATGATCTCACACACACACACACACACACACACACACACACACACACACACACACACACACACACACTCACTCACTCACTCACACACACACACACACATAACACACACTCTCACACACACACCTCTCACACACACACACACTCACTCACTCAGTCACACACACTCTCACACACACACACTTACTGAACACACACACACACTCACTCACTCACTCACTCACTCACTCACTCACTCAGTCACTCACACACTCACTCACTCACACACTCACACACACACATACACACACACACACTAACTCACTCACTCACTCACTCTCACTCACACACACATACACACACACTCACTCACACACACACACACACACACGTTAGAATACTAGTGAAGTGAAGAAAGCTCTTATGAAAGTATGTGAATGATGTATGAAGGAAATGTAAATGTGGCGCAGATGAAGCCTCTTGTATTTGAGCTTCCTCTGGGTCTCGATCACAGCTCTGCTCACTCCGGAAGCTCATGAGGTGCTTCATGGGATGCTTCTGGACGTTAGTGAAGGAACGTGAGATGATGTTTGTCCTTCACTGTGTGCAGCTCATGCGCTTAAACGGGTTACAAGTTAATCATATGATTAATATTTGCCCAAAATCTCATTTAGAGCAGAAACCTGCAGTCAGTGGCGTGTGTGCAGGCTTCAGTCTGTTTACACACACCTGCATGTGCCACTGTGTGTTTGTCCTGTCAACAGAGCCGCACAGGATTGTGGGTAGTGCTGAGCTGATGAGGAGCCGGATACCAAGCCCGTCTCTGTCAGACTTTATCTGCTGTCAGACATTTGCCTGTGTCGACCTCAGAAAGATGACAGCATCGTGTTATTTTCACACAGAGATGGACTCTGTCAGTAAAACCTGTTGACTTCAGCAACCTGTGTTGCTTTATATGACAACAGTGACCGTTAGAAAATGGGGAAAAGCTCTTGTTGTATTTTTCACAAAGTTTGCATGGCTGTAACTCAAGAAGTTTTTAATATATCTTAATATGATTTTAGATTTAGATTTGTTTCTTAAGAAACTTTTCTTTTAGTATCTTAATTTTTAAGGCCAGACCAGTCCAGTCCATAAATTATGATTAGATAAACACACAACACGTTTGGGCCTTAAAAAAGAAAATAAGATAAAAAAAGAAAATAGGACATATAGACTTTAAGGAATAGTTAACAATTCTTGATTTACAGGCATGCAACCTTTGCAGAAAAACACACAAAAAGTGTCACTATTGTCATATAAAGCAACACAGATTGCTGAAGTCAACAGGTTTTACTGACAGAGTCCATCTCTGTGTGAAAATAACACGATGCTGCCATCTTTCTGAAGTCGTGTTACCCTCCTGTAATTTGGCTCTCAATCTCAGGTGAAGATTGTCATTTTGACCACTGAATAGTGCATTACTCAGTGAATATACATCCATGACATTTAACATGTGTGGTGTTCATCACTATTCATGTTTGTCTTTCTTCAGAAAAAATATTTACAGTCAAGGAAGTTTCCAAACTCTGTTTGATTTGACCGGGAACGAGCCTGTGCTTGAGTGAGTTTCTCAGTGAGGTGTGTGTTTGTGGTCAGGCTTCCACCTGCTCCCGGTTCTGTCGGATGTGGTTCCTGAGAGCTGTCTGCTGATCGTGGTGGGGCTGCTGGTGGGGGGTCTGATCCGTGTGATGGGGAAGAACCCGCCGGTGCTCGACTCGCAGCTCTTCTTCCTGTGCCTGCTGCCGCCCATCATCCTGGACGCAGGCTACTTCCTGCCCATCCGGCCCTTCACCGAGAACGCCGGCACCATCCTGACCTTCGCGGTGCTGGGGACGCTGTGGAACGTCTTCTTCATGGGAGCGGTGCTGTACGGAGCCTGTCGTCTGGAGGCCGGCCGCCTGGCGTCTGTCGACCTGCTGTCCTGCCTGCTGTTCGGCTCCATCGTGTCCGCCGTGGATCCGGTGGCTGTTCTCGCCGTCTTCGAGGAGATCCACATCAACGAGCTGCTGCACATCCTGGTGTTCGGAGAGTCTCTGCTGAACGACGCCGTGACCGTGGTGAGAAACTCTCAGTCACAGCTGAAAACATTATGAACATTACATCAAACTCACAACTGGTGGAGTCAGAAGTTGACTGGAAAGCATCACAGTCCATATATTCGTGCTAAAGGCTGCTTGAAGTCTTCATTCTCTAACTGTGACTGGTGAATGACAGATTACGGTTAATCAGAGTAAAACTGAAATGAGCTTGGAGCTGTTATTAAATCTCAGTGGCTGTGTGTTTCAGAGTGAAGCACGGCACTGTGTTCATTTACACACGAGCAGCTCATGATCTGCTGTTTTCAGCTTCTCACAGCGACTCGATTCACAGTAAATGATTCACAGTGACTCAATTCACAGTAAATGATTCACATGACTCGATTCACAGTAAATAGGCTTGTTTGAGATGAGCAAAATCTGCGCAGAACCGATCACCGGTGATCACCGCGAGATGCATGCCGGTTAGAAAAGTGTCCGACTTACCTCTGACTTGCTCTGATGTCATGCTGATGTGTGCAAAAAAACTCTCGCGACGGCGAGGCGGCTGTGTCAGATTATGCAGTCGAGCGCAGTTGCTCTCCACCGACTGTGCTGATCAAAAGCATGATGGAAAACGACTGACTGACGTCACAGCTTAATGCTCATTGGTTCAGACACCTGTGATGCTGCGGTTCTCTTCTAAAATATTTTATTTTTTTATCTGATTTCATGTGATTATGTATTTAAATTATGCATGAATGTTCCCAAACACTATGACAGTGCGATCTCTGTGTGAGATAATGTGATTATGTCATATTTCTATAAAAATATAAATTACATGTTTGTATTAAAGTAAAAATGGATGATAAATACACCTTTCGTATGGAATTAAATAGCAAGCACTTTGAGTGTCTTGTTCATCATATTTATTTTCATATAAAAGCAACAGAACTGAGTGTGTGTAACGCGATATCCGCCTTTGATCTCGTTGGTATCTGCTTCACTTCGAGAGGGCAGAACTGTCCGTCTTGACTGCGCTTATTTCACTCCTCCCCTCACTGCAGCCGCCTACTCTCACCTACATTTCAGGCAAGGCGAGGCGCATCTCAAACAAGCCTAATGATTCACAGTGACTCGATTCACAGTAAATGATTCACATGACTCGATTCACAGTAAATGATTCACAGTGACTCGATTCACAGTAAATGATTAACATTAATCGATTCACAGTAAGTGATTCACAGTGACTCGATTCACAGTAAATGATTCACATGAACTCCATCTGGATCTGCTCTGAGTTTGAGTCACTTTAACGCACATTTGAAACGTCTTCACAAACTGGAAATGAGAAGCGGTTTTCCCGTGAAGCGATTTTTTTTCCTGTGGTTTTCCATCAAAATAAGAGTCTGATGGTTTGACTTGTGAAAATGAATAAGTTAAGACAGCCAATTATTAGTATTGTTGCTTTACACTTGTATGTGAAATAAAATGTTGTTATTGTTATTTAATATTATTATTATAAAATTGTATTATTATTATATTATTTTTCTTTAATACTTGATTTATTTTATGGTGAAATTCCAATGGTAATATTCCATTTTGTTTGACTGTTTGTTTGGTAATATTCAATTTTTTATTCAGTAGTAGTAGTAATAACAATAATAATAATAATAATAATATTAGGCCAAATTGTGCCCTACAAACAAACACAGAAAACCTGGATTTATTCAAATTTAATTTAAAATTAGAATAATAATAAATTACATTTTGTGTATATTTTTTCCCAAGTATTTGTGCATAGAACCTGAACTTTATATACATATTAGAAATAATTTTTATGTTTGAATAATTATTAATATTACCTAAAAACTTATCTTTTTTGCTTTTGCGTTTTGGCCAATCATTTACACGACAGCAGTGTTTTTGGGGCCTGAAAAAGCTAACTTTTGACAATGTGTTTCAAAGTGCACGTTTTTGAAAACAATACTGTTATAATCTTTGTGTAATGTAGACATGCATTTTCTGTAAAGCTGCTTTGAAATGATGTGTATTGTGAAAAGCGCTATACAAATACATTTGAATTTAATTTAATTAAACTATGAAAACGTGAATGTGTGAAAACGGTGACGTCATGCACATGTGTATTTCATGTATACGTGAAATATATATCTGTATGTGTTCAGTCTATAGGAATGTGTGTGTGTGCTGGCATGCAGTGTTTATTTACATCGCCATCTACTGGCCTGACATGCATAACACAGCGTTTCAGTCGCTTTCGCGGATCCCTGTGAATGGGTCAGCAGGTTGTTGTTGTTGTTTCTGTGTGACCTAAGTGTGTGTGTTTCCTTCAGGTCCTGTATCATTTGTTCGAGGAGTTTGCGCACGCAGGCGTGCTGACGGTGGGCGACGTGTTTCTGGGCGTGGTGTGTTTTTTCGTGGTGGCGCTGGGTGGAGTGCTGGTGGGAGGCGTGTACGGAGTGCTGGCGGCCTTCACCTCACGCTTCACGTCGCACACGCGTGTGATCGAGCCCCTGTTCGTCTTCCTCTACAGCTACATGGCGTACCTGTCGGCCGAGGTCTTCCACCTGTCTGGCATCATGGCGTGAGTGTCTCTGTCCCGTCGCTCTAGTTCTCGTCTCAGACGCTCATGCTGTGTGTGTGTGTGTGTGTGTTCACAGGCTCATAGCGTGCGGCGTGGTCATGCGGCCCTACGTGGAGGCCAACATCTCCCACAAATCCTACACCACCATCAAGTACTTCCTGAAGATGTGGAGCAGCGTGAGCGAGACCCTGATCTTCATCTTCCTGGGCGTGTCGACGGTGGCCGGGCCGCACGCCTGGAACTGGACCTTCGTGAGCATCACCATCGTCCTGTGCCTGCTGTCCAGGGTTCTGGGTGAGACGCGCTTCATTCTGCAGGAAATACAGCAGATAATTACCAAACACATCTGTTTATGTGTCAGACGCTGTTCATGTGTGGGTTAATGAAGATTTAGGGAGGTGCTTAGTGTCCATAAACATTACTCGTCAAAAATCTGAGGTCAGTATTACATAAGAAATCGAGGATGCATTAAATTGATTAAAAGTAACGGTAAAGACATTTATAATGTTACAAAAAGATTTGAGTGTGAGACCGCTGTAATCCCATAAAAGCACTGATGGGACTGGAAAGTTCTGCATATCTGCTGATGATGTGACAGATGCAGATCATTTCCATAATGACCAACTCAATCTACCAAGAGCAGATTACAAACCAGCAGAGCCAATGATAATCAGGTTTGTGTGATCTGCTAACAACACAGACACAGTATGGGTTCAAACATGCTTTTCTGGCCATTAAACAATGGCGCATAGACCAGTAAACTGACTACGATGATTGATTTAAACCCTCTCCTCACATAACTGTTGCGTCTGAAAGGGAAACTCCTTCAGATGCACATGCTATAAGATCAGACGCATCACTGTCTCCATGTCTTTCTGTCACTAATGTTTTACTGAGTGTCTTCAGTGCATGCTGACAGGAGTTTTTTAACTAAAGAAGAGGACTTGTGCTTGTGCTGGCCCCAGTGCTGAGTTTGTGTATCTGTCTGTTTCGTGTATTCTCCATGTTGACTGCAGAAGGTGTGAGTTTCCGTGTGTTTGTCCGTCCATCTGTCCTGCAGGTGTGGTCGGTTTGACGTACATCATTAATAAGTACCGTATGGTGAAGCTGAGCGGTAAGGATCAGTTCATCGTGGCGTACGGCGGACTGAGGGGCGCTATCGCCTTCTCTTTAGCGTTTCTGCTGTCCAACAACGACTTTCCCATGAAGGACATGTTTCTGACGGCCATCATCACCGTCATCTTCTTCACCGTGTTCGTGCAGGTGAGAGAATCCGCTGAAGGATGCCCATCGTGTGGCCCTCAGCGCTCATGTCCTCTTGTTTTTTAGGGAATGACGATCCGACCCCTCGTTGACCTTCTGGCTGTCAAGAAGAGGAAACAAAGCAAATGCTCAATAAACGAGGAGATTCACACTCAGGTGCTGCAGCTGATCTCAAACACACTCACTCTCACTCACACGCACACACACGCACACACACACGCACACACACACACACTCTCTCACACACTCACTCTCTCTCTCTCTCACTCACACACACACACACACACACACGGTGGCGGCGGCGTCTTTGTTTGACGGCTGCTGTTTTGTGTCTGTAGTTTCTGGAGCATCTGCTGGCTGGAATCGAGGGCGTGTGTGGACACTACGGACACCATCACTGGAGACACAAGTGCGTTTCATCGTTCAGCTGAATGTTCACATACATGACCAAACGGTCTGTAAAACCAGAACTAGGCCGGCGCTGACAATATTGCTGATATAGCGCTGTTGACCAGTGTTGGGGGTGATGCATTACAAGTAACGAGAGTTACCGAATCTGATTACTTTTTTCATGTAACTAGTAAAGCAACACATTACTTTTACATTTACAAGAAAATATCTGAGTTACTTTTTCAAAAAAGTAACACCAGCTTTCCTGTCCGCATGTTGAGAGAAATCAGGAGTGAGTGCAGAGACAGAGGCGTTTCCTTCAGCATGCGGCTCATTCATTTCACTTCTGGTGTGAACGAGACTTTACAGCTGCCAAAAATATAACTTCTGTTGTTTTTTTTGTTATTAAAAAAATAAGCAAGCCCAGCCCAGCTGACAAAAATAAAAGCAAAAGTATCGTAATGCATTACTTTCCATAAAAAGTAATGCAATTAGTTACTCTTTCATAGACTAATGCAAAATTGTAATGCAATACTTTTAAAAGTAACTTTCCGCAACACTGTTCATGAAAGATTGCTGTAGCCTCATGTGAAGCGATCATCTCTTCCTCTTTACTACTAGTTACAGCAGCAAATAAACATGAATGAACATCAGAAGAATCAGAACAACTCATTGCAATGAATCATGAATCATGGAAACCATCGATCAGTGATTCAAGTGCAGAAAGACGTCAATAAAACCGCTTAAGATCAATAATGTCACGTAACGTCACATTTACCTCAGAAAACGTAGTGATGAGTTTCAGCTAATAAAAAATTCAGCATAAACAGCAAAAAAATGGGTTTGGCTGAAATAGTTTTGGAGGATCAAAATTATTGAGTGAAACTGATGTTTAATTAGTGTTTCTCCAATGACGTGGTTTGACTGTCAATAGTCATCTTCCATCCACCTATTGTTATGCAAATTTTGCGCATTAATAACTTATGCTCTCAATTTGCTGAATTGATCATTTCTTATCCAATAAGAAGACAAGCGCATAAACTATAATGGAAGCACATTAACTGAATAAATTCCTTGATACGCATAAAAAAACTCATGTGACTTTGCTTCAACAGATCATGTGACTGGATAAACAGAGCACCGACCTCAAATGTTACTTTAATCAAAATAATTTAGTATAATCATTGTATAATCACATTTGTGTTCCCAAACATCAGGCAAGCCTCCCAGTTTCCCTTCATTTCCATCTTTGGTTTTCAGCTAAAGAAGACATATATTCTGGAATCAGTGTTTCAGTAAAAACTCAAATGGGTTTGAATGACGTGAGGCGAGTAAACGAAGCCAGTCTTGTTGTAAATCTTTGTCGTAACGTTCTGTTCGTCCGCAGGCTGAATCGCTTTAATAAGCGCTACATCAAGCGCTGTCTGATCGGCGGAGAGCGATCACAGGAGCCACAGCTCATCTCCTTCTACAACAAGATGGAGCTCAAACAGGCCCTGATGCTGCTGGAGAGCAACAGTTCAGCCAATCTGAGCGCAGGAGTCACTGCAGCCATACCGTGAGTGTGAGTGAGAGTGAGAGTGTGTGAGTGTGAGCGAGTGAGCGCGAGCGTGAGAGTGCGCGAGAGTGAGCGTGAGTGCGAGAGTGAGCGTGAGTGCGAGAGTGAGAGCGAGAGTGAGCGCGAGAGCGAGTGAGTGAGCATGAGCGTGAGAGTGCGTGAGAATGAGAGTGAGCGTGAGAGTGAGTGAGCATGAGCGTGAGAGTGCGTGAGTGAGTGAGCGTGAGAGTGAGAGTGAGAGTGAGTGAGCATGAGCGTGAGAGTGCGTGAGAATGAGTGAGCGTGAGAGAGAGTGAGAGTGTGTGTGAGTGTGAGAGTGAGTGTGAGAGTGAGTGAGTGAGTGTGAGAGTGAGTGTGAGAGTGAGTGAGTGAGTGTGAGAGTGAGTGTGAGAGTGAG